TTGTTTTGCTGCAAGATTAGTTGATCTTAAGATTTGTTTATTCTCTCTGCAGAAAGAAGACGATCGTAATAACGTAATGAGAGAGTACAATATCAATTGTACGATAAATGATTCTTGTTTTCTGGTTTGTTTTGTTTTGTTTTGTTTGGACGTAATATTCGATACTTAGTGTAATTTGTACCATATGTTTATAGTTATATTTGTAAAGCAAAGATAAGATTACGTACGATAGACGTTCCTCTCCGACTTTCGCTAAGCGGAGAGATTTGTTGGCTTGCGGTTGCACTTTTTTTTTAAATAAAATTCATTAATTTGTGTTGTAACTTGTAATTTGCGTCATATCATAATTAATAATTTGGTAAAGATAACCATACATTATATTAACATAGTTTGGGAAACATATTTTAGCTTATTTAATTGGTTCAGCTGCATGAAACCTCACAAATTATAGGGTTGCTTTCAAGCTGGCATAAGATCTTTGAAGATATCCTACCAACTGATCCTCAAACTCACGAAAATTTTACATTTGTAGGGCCTTCTACTCACACTGTTTATATGTTTGTAGGGTCTTCAAGATCGGCTCCCAACTTTGAATCAACCTTATAGTTTGGGGTTTTATGCAGTAGACTCAAAATTAATTTCCTTTTTTGATGTGTGCATTTCTTTTGCAGCCAACATTTTTTTTTTGTTCAAGAAAATGACGAATGTAACTATTTATAGAGACTCTTGTTCGTTTCGCAGAGGCCTGGGAATGGAAAAAATAGTTTACCTCATGTTTGATAAGTGCGCGTTATGAAAAGATGTCCCTAATTAATGAAGGGAATTGATGTTGGGTATCGGCAGCGGAAGAGTAATGGGAAAAGTATCAACCTAAATTTCTGAAAATAGTTTCTTATATTGTTGCAGGAAGGTCTTGTACAAAAGGGGGTCTGAGGGTCTTTTCATTTCTGTTTTACTGCTTCTGTTTTTCCTTGCGTTGCATCTGAGTACAAAGAGACCTTCTTATACTAGGAGTAGAAGACCCTAGAAACATATATTATTGCTAATTAACCAACTATGATATCTTGTTATGCCTGATGACTTAGTTAATCTAAGTTGTTTACTCTCCATATATGCAGAAAGACAAGTATAAAAGCATACTGGAAAATCTTAATATTCCCCTTACGGTAAAAGATTTGACCGTTCAAATTTTGTTTGGAGCTAATGTTCTTAATTAAGCTCGACTGATTTAATTGTTCATATCTTTATCCTTAATTTGTTTCCAAAATACAATTTGTATACTTTTTGTAGCCAACATTTCATTTCTATCAAAACGGGAAAAAAGTAGCTGAGATAACCTGTAAGAGCTGGGAGAGCGATGCTTATGAAATTTGCTTATTGTAAAGGTAATGAACGAGGCTTTTTCTTTTTAATTTTCCTTTGGTGGACGGAAGAGCATTCTTTTTCTTTCTTTCTCTTTTCGGTGAACGCAAACTAGCTTTCTCTTTTGCTGTTTTTGATGTAACGATCATTATATAAAGGAAGTAGCAAACAATGCCTTGAACATATGAATATGCTAATCTTCTTGGAGCTTCTAGAACGAAAGCTTTTTGGACGTTACTTGAAGACTTCTTGTTTTGCACGATGCGTCGTTATGGTTTTCTTGATCATCTTTATGAACTATGTTCATCCTCTTCACCATCACCACCAAATTCACTCAAGCCCTCTTCTTCCAGTCCCTTATCTTTCAAACCCATCTCTCACTCTTCAAATCTGCATTTTTGGCAATCACAAGAAAGGTGGCTGCCCTCATCTTTTTCAGGAGGTCCAATGAAAATTTCCCTTCATGAGTTTGTAATACAAAACCCTCCACATCAGTACCATATAAACTTACTTCCACATCTCTCTAAAATATTTTGTAGTAAAACTCACCAAAACCCTCTAGTTCGGAACTTTATGGACATACTTCCACATGTCTATAAAATATTTTATAGCAAACTTTTGGAGAAGATGAAGGATGCTGAATCACTTGTATTCAGTTTTGACCTTGACATTGATTCCTTCGACATTATTTTGCAGAACGGAACAATGTACATAGAATTGAAAAAAAAAGGAAGGAGCACTATGCAAAAAGTTCAACTTCGATCAGATGCACTTCTTCAATTGTCAGATATTCACTAACGGTGTCCCTAAAGAGCTGGAAAGTATGACAAAAGTGTTGATTCAGACCCAAGACATAGGTGTTGCACTGTTGTATCATGCGACTTTGCCGTCAGTGCTTAGAAACCAAGTACGTATGTGGGTTTATTCCAAGGTAGGTGAAGCAAAAGACTCAAAGGACCAATGGGATCGGATGTATACGATGGAGTTGGATGATTACTTCAAAAAGAAAGGCTTTAAGTATTATCCTAAAGAGAATTGGATGTCAAAAATTGATGTGCGGTTTTACACAAAGGACATGAAGAAATATGGTAATATTCCGATGGAATTCCTCCGTTGCTCAACCAATATCATAAAACACGCACATATCAACTCGTACATGACCATAATATAAGTATAAAGCTTGTATATTTAATTTTACGTTACCTGATGAAGCGCGTGTTTTACGATATTGGCTGAGCAACGGAGGAATTCCATCGGAATATTACCATACTTCTTCATGTCCTCTATGTAAAACTGCACATCAATTTTTGACATCCAATTCTCTTGAGGATAATACTTAAACCTTTTATTTCTGAAGTAATCATCCAACTCCATCGTGTACATCCGGTCTCATCGGTCCTTTGAGTCTTTCGCTTCACCTACCTTGGAATAAACCCACATACGTACTTGGTTTCTAAGCACTGACGGCAAAGTCGCATGATGCAACAGTGCAACACCTATGTCTTGGGTCCGAGTCAACACTTTTGTCATACTTTCCAGCTCTTTAGGGACACTGTTAGTGAATATTTGACAATTGAAGAAGTGCATCTGATCGAAGTTGAACTTTTTGCCGTAGTGCTCCTTCCCTTTTTTCAATTCTATGTGCATTGTTCCGTTCTGCAAAATAATGTCGAAGGAATCAATGTCAAGCTCAAAACTGAATCCATGTGATTCAGCATCCTTCATCTTCTCCAAAAGTTTCCTATAAAATATTTTATAGACATGTGGAAGTATGTCCATAAAGTTCCGAACTAGAGGGTTTTGGTGAGTTTTACTACAAAATATTTTAGAGAGATGTGGAAGTAAGTTTATATGGTACTGATGTGGAGGGTTTTGTATTACAACTCACGAAGGGAAATTTTCATTGGACCTCCTGAAAAAGATGAGGACAGCCACCTTTCTTGTGATTGCCAAAACTTCAGATTTGAAGAGTGAGAGATGGGTTTGAAAGACAAGGGACTGGAAGAAGAGTGCTTGAGTGAATTTGGTGGTGGTGGTGAAGAGGATGAACATAGTTCATAAAGATGATAAAGAAAACCATAACGCCACATCGCGCAAAACAAGAAGTCTTCAAGTAACGTCCAAGAAGCTTTAGTTCTAAAAGCTCCAAGAAGATTAGCAAACCTGCTGTTCATATGTTCAAGGCATATTGTTTGCTACTTCCTTTATATAATGATCATTCCATAAAAAACAGCAAAAGAGAAAGCTAGTTTGCGTTCACCGAAAAGAGAAAGAAAGAAAAAAAGGAATGCTCTTCCGTCCACCAAAGGGAAAATAAAATTTAAAAAAAATAAAAAAAAAAAAAAAACTCGTTCCGCCGCTGCGTAGTGCTTTGATTTCTCAGATCAGGTTTTCTCCTTTCCAATTTGAATTGCCTAATCAATTTTCTTTATAAGCAAAAGGAAAGAAGTAAAACCTTTGTTTGGTCGGAATGCAAGAATAGGAATAGGAAACATGTATTTTAGCACAATTGACGAAGGAAACATGTATGCAAACCTTTCGACAGTGCAACTTAATTTCATGCAGTTCAATAAACTATTTTGTATAAGATTGTTCTCTAATTTTTTTGGTGATGAGAAGATGGACATCTTTTTTTGAAATAAAAAATTACTTCGTCTCTCCATGCCATGACGGGTTAAGCTCTGCAGATTTCGTAAGCCAAAGCAAAACTGAGGAGTAAGGAGGCATTTGTTTTTTACGAGTCCGACAAGCAGATCGAATAAATTATATGTACGACTCGGTATTTTGACAATCGAGAAAAGTATGTTCATCAGGAATTTTCAGATATATTTGTATTGCAAGTAATCCTGATAATACACAGCCCACCATCAAAATAAATAAACGCTTTTTCGAACCATTTCCGCACCATGCATGCTCCTAAAACAAAGTAGTTGGTGCTTCACCTGAGGAATCAACTCCTTTTCTCTCATTGCCTGGTGATCTTTCTGTACCTCAACGTATCTTCAACTGTACTCTTCTCCTTATCAGATGATCTTTCTGTATAGGTCGACGACTGCAAGATGAGAAAATTCAACAATAGGGTTCACCAACTATTTTATTAATTTATGCAATTACAATAAATACATCTTATCCCACTAAATGGGATCGGTTGTATAATCCTAGAACATTGTGCTCAATTTTGTGTTAAGTCTTCCGTTAGCTCCAAGAAGACAACAACAACAACAACAAAGCATTTTCCCACTAAGTGGGGTCGGCTATATGAATCCTAGAACGTCATTGCGCTCGGTTCTGTGTCATGTCCTCTGTTAGATCCAAGTACTCTAAGTATTTTCTTAGGGTCTCTTCCCAAGTTTTCTTAAGTCTTCCTCTACCCCTTCAACCATGAACCTTTGTCAAAGGAAAGAAAAAAAAAGTATAATTCAAGCCCACACAAATTTACAAAAGCACGCAAACCTGAGGTAATCTTGAAAGGGTAGTGCTATTCACATACCATTTTTTACCTTCTCACGCACTCTTACTAATTTGTATCCATTGATCTTCTCCAAATTCATTTGTTCTAACGACAGAAAATTGAGAAAGATGTGTGAGAAGTAAAAATCGGTATGTAGATAACCAAACCTCATCTTAAAAATACTTACATGTAGAGTTCCACAAGGAGTCTTTTTCAAGCAAATCTCGTAAGCATCACTCTCCCAGCTCTTACGGGTTATCTCAAGCTACCTTTTTCCCGTTTTGATAGAAATGAAACGTTGGCTGCAAAAAATATATAAATTGTATTTTAGAAACAAATTAAGGATAAAGATGTGAACAATTAAATCAGTGGAGCTTAATTAACGAACAATTAGCTCCAAACAACATTTAAAGGGTCAAATCATTTACCGTACGGGGAATATTAAGATTTTCCAGGTATGCTTTTATACTTGTCTTCCTACATACATAGAGAGTAAACAATTTAGACTAATTAAAATGAAATAGGCATAACAAGATATCATATTTGTTCTTTAAGCAGACACACATCCCATAGCAATTACAAGATTACTACATGAGTAAAACCATGATATCAAACAGTTCAATTAAAAGATGGAATGCAAGGAAAAACAGAAGAAAAAGACCCTCAGACCCCCTTTTGTACAAGACCTTCCTGCATCAATATAAGAAATTATTTTCAAAAATTTAGCCTTATACTTTTCCCATTACCCTTCCGCTGCCGATACCCAACATCAATTGGCATCTTTTCCTAACGCACACTTATAAGAATACTAAACAACCCCTAAGTTGTTTTTTACCTCATTCTTAAATATTAAGTTGGGATTAAAAAAACTTAGCAGAAAAATGAACGGTTTCCAGAAAAAAAAATAAAAAAAAAAGAGGCGATTCAAGTTAATATAAGACTGGATTACAGTGGCACACCTCAGGATCAAGGATGAACTCATATGCTGTTACATGTGGAAATGGCTCACACATTTCCATAAACATATCAGAAGTGACATGAGAGACTGCACAAGAAGAGTACATCAAACACAAGTCGGAAAAGGAGCAGCTTATTTTAGAAAATGATAGCCCACACACATTTTTTCTCTTCCTACACAATTTATCATTAGATTGAATAAATAAAACGGAAACAATACAAATGATTAAGCAAGGTTTTGTAAGGGAAGAAACAAGGTGTGTGGTTATCATTTCTCTATTATATTGCAAAAACAAACTAGCTTAAACAGAGTAAATTCATTTGAACTTACTGGCCTCATAATAGGTCGTGAATAATATAATTGCCGGCAAAGATTCATCTGTGAATTAAAGGAGCAAATAAGAAACTGTATGAAATTCTATGTTTTCTCAAGAGTCAATAGTAAGTAATTTCATTAAAAGAAACCTACAAGTAAACAATTTCATCCAAAAATTAAACAACATCATAAAACAACCAAGCCCTTATCCGATTAAGTGAGTGTATGAATCCTAGAACGTACCTTGAATTGTTTTAACTGCTCTCACATACTGATCGTAATGGTTGTTCAGCAAAATGAGAGGAATGCCTGAGTAACCTGAAAATAAGAAAATTTGTGAACAAAGTTAATTCAGAGGCAGGAAGGCAACAAGGCATGAAAATTTGTGAAAAGAGGGTTACCAACCCTTGTAGTTGATAGACCAGCGGCTAGTGGAGCCAATAATAATTTCCTTTTTTGGGCTGGAGTCAAGGGTACAGAAGGGTTTTGAAGTGGAAGAAATTGCCAGCGGCGGTGGTCGGCGTGGTGGCGAAGATGGTGTGATTGGGACTGAAGTTGTCAGGGTTTGAATTATATTAAAAGGATTCTTAAGGTTATGGTGATGAATAAGAGCTGCGCAGGGTTTCGTGCGATTGCCGAGCAACTGTCGCAATAAAACCCTAGAATTCCTAGCCATTCTCTTCTCTCTCTCGCTTCGCTTCCAAATCCCGAATTCCTGGCTTTATTTACCAAAGTTTAGAGGATTGGGTAGTATTCTACGTAGAATCCCCTTACACAGTTTTCTTGTCAAGAGTAGCTTGTACAAAAATATATAACCTAATCGAAATTTAGACTGCAGTGACGAACACTAATTGCAAACGATAAATTCTCAATTCTGAACCCTAGACACCCACACTAATTATGAGACCTATATATGTATGTGTGTGTGTGCTGTGCGCCTTTTCTTTTTCATGGCCCTAAAAAAAGAAAAAAATTAGAATGCTCTACAATTTTTTTTTTTAGTTTTAAGATTAAACATTTATCTCTTTTAAAGATTTGATTAAAATGTTTTCATCATTTTTTTTTTGCATAATCGATATTATCTACACTAAGAGGAAAGGGAATGAGCTTAGCCTCACAATGAGCTAGCTTTGACCAATTGTTATCTCAATAACTTTCTATTTATTTAGTTTCCATGCCATTAATTTAAATTCATTTATATAGAGACATAAAGGTAGTTTAGCAATTAATTGCCTATATAATATAGAAAATTAATTTCATCAATCCCCTTCTAAGCATTAAATGACTTTTTTTAATAAAATAAGGTAAAAATTAATTTAATTAATTCCTCATTATTAGTATTGAAGAAAGAAATATAACTTTCTATTAAAAACGTCTCAAAAGAAAAAAAGTCATTAAACATATTTTTCCCAAGAAACAAAATATACAAAAAAATCAAATGCACCATAAAATTAAATGTGCCCTGATGTTTTGGGGTCCTTTCATTTAAATAATCAAATGCACTGACAATTTTTTTTTATAAATATTCTACTCAATTCACAAAAATAAAAATTATAATAAGCAATTAAAAAAATCTGGCAGCACCATAATAAGAGATGGATAATAAATGCATAGACATAGGAACAATAGGAAAGGAAATAAAAAAAAGAAAAGAAAACGAAATGCCCAGTGAAGAAGTCGTCAAAACATAAACTTCTAAACAAAATTGAACTTCTAACGTGAAAAACTGAAGATAACCACCAAAATTTTAGGAAACGGTTTAATCAAATTTTTAAAAGGAATAGTACAATAAATTCAAAGATGAGGATTTCTTGGGAAACGGTTTCACCCTATTTAATCAAATTTTTGACATATATATATATATATATCAAAAACGCCCCCAAAAAAAAACTCCCCAATCAAAAGTAAAATGAGGATTTCTTGGGTTTTGGCGCGACACTTGCTTCGCAGTCGCAACAACCCTAACCCTTGTGCAGCTCTTGCTCATCCGTGTAATTCTCTCCAAACCCTAACCCTAACTTCCGTCCCAGTTTCACCATCTTCACCCCCACCAAACCTTGATTTTCTACAACAGAGGAGTCGCCGCTTCTCCTCATTTTCAGGTATGTAACCCCGCCTTTTCTGTTCCATGTATCTAATTCAACCCTAACTCTAACCCTACCTATCTCTTTTTTATTTTAATTATCAATTTATATCAGACTATCCTGACTGGAGGTGGAATAAATTTTGGGATATGCACGTGCCATGGGAAGACCGGCGCCTCTTCGTAGGTACTCCATCTCTCCTTCAAGTCAGTGTTTTTGTCAATTACACCAACTTTGCTGTAACCACAAATACTTTATTTTTCAGTTCCCCCAGAAATTTCCTTTTATGAAAAAGATGAGTATGATTTGGAGATTAAAAGAGTTCAAGGTAATCTCTTCTGCACAAATATATATACAGACACACACATATATATACTTTATCCTAATTTGATCTTAAATTTGTTTGAATCTGTTCTGTTTTGAGAAAACTTTTTAGTGTAATGCAGTTTTACTTACGTGTTTTCATTAATTCATTGGGATATAGATAAATCTTCGTCAGCGGTCTTCTGCTTCTATGACGCTCGAACAGATGGTAAGTTCTTATGAATTTACCAAATCATTCAACCAAGTACTAGTTTTCAACTTATGCTGGGTTTACTCTTCTTCTGCAGACTTTTGCTTCATACATTCAGTCATCAATAGGTGGGCTAAGGAATTCCCACACGTAGCATTGTATGAAATTATTATTGATCATCTGGTACGGCATTGTAGAATGATCTTCTGTTCACTTTGTCCAAATTATTTGTCAATCATGATAGTTTTCTTATATTGCCTCAAGATTACTTAAATTTGTTTATTCTCTCTGCAGAAAGAAGACGACCGCATTAATGTAATGAGAGAATACAATATCAATTGTACGGTAAATGGTTCAATTTTTTTTTGTTTGGATGCAATGTTCATACTTAGTTTAATGTTTACCATATGTTTAATTATATTTGTATTTAAAATAAAATTCGTTAATTTGTGTTGTAACCTGTAATTTGCACCATATCATAATTAATAATTTGGTAATGATGACCGTACATTATACTAGATAGTTTGGGGAATAAATTTTAGCTTTCTTTTGTCTTTAGATGAAAAGTTAATTGGGTCAGTTAACCTCACAAATTATAGGGTTAATTTCGAGCTGTCATACGATCTTTGAAGATCCTAGAAATTGATACTCAAATTCACGAAAATTTTATCTTTCAAGATCCGCTGCCAACTTTAAATTAATTTACTTTGTTGATGTGTGCATTTCTGTTGCAGCCAACATTCCGTTTCTTTCAAAATGGGGAAAAGGTAGATGACCTAGCCGGTGGCTCTGCCATACTCTTGGAAAAGACTCTTAACAAAATTTATGGGTAATCATTTTCTGGATTTACTCTACATTTGTGTGCTTTGACGTAGATGTAGATCTGGCCAGTTTACACACAACTCCTTAACACGACATAGCACAACATATGTTTTTAGATATTGCTTAGCTACTCGCTAGTAAATACTCTATGTATTTACTTTTTGATTTGGTGCAATAAAAAAATGCCAGTGTTACTAAACGTTGTTGAATTATTCATCTAGGGGAGGAGAATGGAGTACAGCACAAGTCCTTGACACACAATTTGTTAAGAAAGATGGGAATGGTGAAGGAGTTTGTTCATCATTTGAAGTGGAAGCAGTGGCACATGATACTTGGGACACAAGTTACGAATTGAAACACTATTCCAAATGCCCTTGCAATTTGTGCCGTAGCTGGAAGTACCTGCGATTGAAGTTGTCACAACAGCGTGAAACTGAGATTGAAAAGGATGAGAAATAAAGTTTAAACTTAAAACTTGTTTGGTGGTTTGGAATTTCAATAGCTACCTTGTGTTTTTGTTAGTTTTTTGGCTATCGTGCAATTTATTTGAAATTATGTATGCACTTTGTAAAAGCATGTCTCTCCGTTCACGCTACATATGCACAGATTTCGATAGACTTTGAAATAGAACGATAACTTTGATCTCTCTCTAGTGGTAGGTTTTGGTACTTATTTTCCTTTACTAATCAATTAATTTAGTTGGATGTAAAAATAAATTACATATATTAAAGTTTTTTAGAGTGGAGTAGGTTATGAAGTAATCTTTGATTTAAAGAGATGCTGATAAAGCGTGACTTCAGGCTAACAAGACTCTCACGTTGTGTTACAGAATATAAATCCCTTAGAAAAACCTCAGTGGTCGTTTTATTGTTGTTGAATGCATGTAGTTTCTCAACAATAAACTGGAAATTCATAATCCATTTAGAATAATCCATTCCCCAACATTTAAACCGTCAGATTCAACTTGGCTTAGATCTAACGGTTTTAAATGTCGGAGTCTGTCATACTCCGGTGTAATAGAACTTTACAGTTTAATACCTATTATTTTATTATTTACAAGACTAAGAATATATATACATATAATCCTTGATTCACAAGGAAACATAAAAGGACATAAAATATCCCTTCTAATAAAGGATTCCTAAAATATTTACATAAGCTTTACATACTCTTTACATACTCATTAAGACTCACGTTAATATAAAGTAGTTAAGATTATAACAAAATTATCTTTCATATGAATTGGATCTAACGGTTTTAAATGTCGAAGTCTATCATACTCCGGTGTCATGTAGCTAAGATTAAAAAAATTTATCTCCCATCTTTGGATGATTACAATTTTTTTTTTTTGGAAACTTTAACGAAAAGTTTCTGGTACTATTCCATTTAACGAAAAATTACATATTTGCACTAAAAAGTTAATTATGATACTATTCACTTTACCTTTTATTTTATCATTATCGTTAAAACTTAAAATTTTCAAACTATTTTCATTATTATTATTATTATTATTTTCGAAAAGGGATAAATACAAGTTTAAGGAGTATCTTATCACCCCTTTGCAAGTCTTATCCCCTACGTGCATGCATGCATGCACGACAACACCAACCGACATGGTGAGTTTTTGGCTCTGCACCTAGCTTCCACCATTAATCATCTGCTACTACGTGTATAATCCCCCATTAGCCACGTGTACGTTCCGTTCCCATCCGCTCCTTGCCTCCACCTCCGCCACGTGTCCTCCCTGTAAAACCGCTCTCCTGTATATAATTCCCACCTGAAATTCCTCCAACAAAACTAAAACATAAAAACAAACAAACAGAAAAGGCACAGTGATTCATCTCTTTCTGAAAAATGGATAATTATTCCGACCACCTCAAGCAACGCAGGACAGAGGATCCTGCCGCCGCTGCCGCTACTGGGCCCGCTGCCGGGAAGAAGAGCGGTTACAGAAGCAGAAAGGACGCGGCCTTAGGTCCTTAGCCGTGGCCGTCGCAATTCCCGTCTCTCTCCACCTCCTCGCTATCTACGCAGGTTCATCCGATCCCTACCGCGTCGGATCCAAGCCCTTCTGGATCCCTCCCTTGTGGGCCCTGCGGTTAACCTGCATGGCCTCCAGCTTCCTCATGGGCCTGGCCGCTTGGTTAGTGTGGGCCGAAGGTGGTTTCCATAAGAACCCGATGGCCTTGCCCATTTACTTGGCCCAGCTAGGGTTGAGCTTGATTTGGGATCCGATTGTGTTCGGGGCGGGGGCTCCGTGGGTCGGGTTGATCGTGTGCATGGGGATGTTCGGGGCGATGATCGGGTGTTCTCGGGTGTTTAAGGATGTGAATCCGGTCGCCGCCGATCTTATGAAGCCGAGTTTGGCATGGGTTGCGTTTTTGGCCGTTGTAAATCTGAAGCTTGTATTCCACTGAAATGTCAATTTAATTACTATAATCTTTTGTGCCTTGCAAGGTCCGTTTAGAAATGATAAATTCTATTAGAAGCACTTCCTGTATAAGTACTTGAGCCTTTCATGCAAGAAGCAAACAAGTGCTTCTTTTAGAAAACAATGCAAAGTGTTTTTCCTGATCCATGAGTAATTAAGAGCTCGTTTGTATGTACTTTTAAAATACCTGAAAGAGTTTTTAGAGAAAATATTTTTAGGTTTCAAAAGCATTTAAGTACTTTATACGAGAAGTACTAGTTATGTGCTTTTTTCAAGAAGCATTTTAAGCGTTTTTTCAAGATTTATTAACATTTTTACTAAGGATTGTTTTTAAAAATATTTTCATCAAAAACGATTTCAATCATCTTAAAAACATATCCAAACGAACTCTAAATTTTCATGTCATAGCGCTTTTGGTGATTTTATACTTTTTAATTATTTTAAAAGCATTTTCAAGCAGGACTATCTTCCAAACGTCATGAACATGGGGCTAGTCTAGTTGGTAAGTGCGGCCTCACAACCAAGAAGTTGCAGGATTTGTATCATGTGTTCAAGCAATCGTCTTTAGATATAGGGACACAAATGAAGCATAAACAGCCAGAGTATATAAGAACTCCAGTCTCGAGATCGAAAACCCAAAAACCAGTGAGAAATGAACTAGCTTGGTAGAAGAGACTTTCCTATCCCGGCTCGGGATGTATACATCAACCTGACAGGATGTATACATATCCCATCACACGATGTATACATCCCGGGTAGGAAAGTCCATCCGCTAAAATAATAACTCGGGGAAAACCCATCATAAAATTGTCAATCGCCATGTGTGGTACATAATCCACAAACGCAAGTCTGAACAGATCTCACTACATTATGAATATTTACACAATAATGTCTACAAATTTGATTTGGAATTTTTGGAAGCAATAAATAATCTCTCTGATTTCATATCGGAAGTAGTACGCAAATTTATAAGGTACAAAAGAATACTATCTCCACAACTAGCACAAGGAATACAGAAAACATACAGTGTAACAAATCCTAGTAACACGAGTGAACTAAGAAGACGATACCTTGGCGGCCTTGAATGCCGGATGAAGCAATCCAAGTTCATCCTTAACCTCGAGCGGAATGTTTTTTTGGTTCCTAACTCTCTTAACTCTTCTACTACCCAATGACCGGTGCGCGAAACCATAGATCTGAAGAATCTGATTGTCCCCAAAGTTAAAAGCTCTATCCATCTGCTTCAAGCATCTCTCAACAGGGTAATCTGCTAACTTCCCACACGGTTTGCAACCTACGAAATGCGTCACCAGTGGCCACCGGTGGTCGCCCAAACCAGGGCGATAATTCTCAATCATTTCTTCATATCTATCAACCAAAATCCCCCAATATCCGTGCAAATAATATCCACTCTCAAGATAAACCTTATCACCCCACTTCTGTCTTTGAGTGGCCAAAATGTAGACCATGGCTGACTGATCATCAGCTTCGAAAACCGGCCTACCCTTCAATTCCTTAGTGAGCACCTTCCCTGCCTCCTCCCTGATTTTCCCTTTCGGTCCCATCGGAGCCCAAGCATCGAGCATATCCAACGACCACTGCGTATTCCTCAACAAAAAACTCCCGGTATTCAACCCAATCCAACTTTTCTCATCATAAACCGTCTTGTTCCACCCGTGCATCACAAAGTTGGAATCTTTGTACCTCTCCCATGGCAATTCAAACGCCATATCTGTAAACATTGCATCACTATCCATCCACCATAGAAACTCAACCTCCGGGTGAGACAAAAGGAGCTTCCGAATCAACGGAAGCTTGGCCCAGAAACCCGCCATTTCGGCATCCAAAAGAGCCATATTGTAAAAAACCTCAATCCCATGTAATCTACAATAATCAATTTTGTTCTTAATCGACTTCAACAAGTAATGATCACCTACCGGATTCTCGCAGGGTTTCGGCGAAGACCCAGTCACAAGAAGCACCCGGGGCTTACCAGGCCCGATGAAATTTGGGAAATTAGGGTTTTCCCTCAGCCATTTCGACCTCAACTCGTCCCAATTCGAAATCTTGGGTCCGAGAGTGTATGGCTTATTCGGGTCGACCTGTTCCTCCTCACCTTCATCGACAAGGAGCTTCTTAATATCGAAGGCGTTGTAGTTGTTGGGGTCCGACGGCGTCGCGTGGACCTCCTCCAGGACGCGGTGGGCCTCCGCCCGCTTGCGGGAGTAGAAGTGGTCGCGAATCTCGAGGAAGTCCTGCTCCGGGGTTCCGAACTTGCCGGCTCCGATCGTGCCCCGAAGGACGACCACCGTGAGGACGAGGCAGAGGATCGTGACCTTGGAGTGCCGGAGAGCTCTCTGGATCCGTCGCGATCGTTGAGCTCCCAAGCATTTCTCTAATAACATAGCTAAAATTTCAACCTCAATTGAACATAAATAAATTGGGGATTTTGGGAAATTTTGGTGGGCGGGGGAGTGGCAGTGGAAACCCTAGAATCCAGAATTTTGACAGAATTGGATTTCGTACAAAGATTTCTAAGCTAATGTCGGATATTTGTACCATGTTTAAAATGGTACGGCAAATGATAATTAAAATGGTACGGCAGCTGAAAGAAACAGACCAAACAAAAACACCAACTGACAAATGTTTTGTGGTTTGGGCCTTTAGAGTTTGGACCCACTTGAGAGGACGATTAGGCCCACTATCATCCGTTTAAGGGCAAAAATAATGCATGAATACAGGTTAGGGTTAGTTCGTCTGTCCTTTTGCACTCGAGTTTCATTTCTCTCCTTACATAATAGAGTGATTTAAAAGGTAGAACACTACTTGGCTGCTGAACTCTGCTAATACCCAATCACATTTCGACACGTGTCTAAATACTTGAAGTTGTAAACACATATTAAACACGTGTTCAATTGTCATTTGGTATGAGCAGGAGTGGCCGTTGAATTTTCAGCAGTCAAGTAGTGTCCTAAAAAGTTGCTTGACTATTTATTTATATGTAATGAATAATTTCTCATTGGCTGTTAATCTCCTGCCCTTTGATGTCAAGAAAAATTTCTGCAAGAGCATACCCTTGTGTCGTTGATCTATCTAACGAGACATGAACCAAAGCTTCGTGAACAATCGTGACCATATGATTGAAGAAGTTTATGCACACATGTCAAAATTGAACGGATATCTTCTGGTTTACCATGTTACGTTTAAAAAATGCAAAAGTAAGTCTATAATTTGCTTCCTTAAGCATTCATCTTGGCCACTGGAATCTTGGATAATCTGCTTCCTTAAGCATTACTTTCAAACTGGCTCCGTTTACAGGGCAATGTCATCTCCAATTCGCGAAACTACGCGCTTTCCAGGTGCAATCAGATCCTCAAATTCGATTCTGCAAACAGTACATTCTAACCCGAAAATGTGACAGAAGTGATAACATCTTGATGACCAAGGAATTGGAAAAGTAGAAAGATATTCTGCTGAATAATCCTTACAAGGAGCTACTCAACTTGGCAGAGCTTCCTCAGGGTTATGGAGATTCTCCTCGTCTGAGTTAGTTCCTCCCCTTCCCACTTCTGAATTCCAGGCGTGCGGTTGATCTCGTGCTTCCAATGGTATCGCGCTTCTCCTGACATGAAAATTAGGGATCCGGGGGTAAGGTAAACTGGAATCTTGGCCACAGGGGGATCATTTTCCCTACTTGTTCCTTCAACTTGACTAAAATCCATCACACATGACGACTCCAGGGAGAGAATGGCAATTCCATCTTCGAAGCGCATGAGATCAACGTGCGCACAGATCCCCTGCACGGAAACGCAGGCAGAGGATGTCAATCTCGATTGTTAATTCTTCTGATAGCAGTGCATCAAATCTGCATGGTTGGTGATCAAACAAAAACTTGCACTTGTTCGAAGAACGCGGCATTATGCTAGTATTTTAGATACAAATCAACATCGTCAACTCAATTATTTTCTCACGCAATAAATCTAAGTAAGAAGAGGCAAAATTCATCTCGCACCTCACCCGGTTGGTAAGAATTTAGAATGAGCTGGTCAAAGAGCGGCTCTCTGCACAAAAGATCGGATGGAAATGGAGAGGCATTCTCCTTCACACCATCATTGCTTCCCAAAACAATAGGATCAAAAACATAGTCACTTGCAAGCGCAACCTTGTGAATAGAACGCGAAAGCTCGTCCGCCCATGCTGGAAGATCCCCAAACCTCATTGCCTGCAGGGAAACCAAATTCCTTCAGCTCGCAATGCACCAATTACCTGGTACTCTTAGCACTTAGGCGGGATAAGACAAGCAGAAAATCAGCCGGTTGCAAACTTCTAATCAAGGTTCTAAAAGACGATAGGCGCTAGATGGGAGGCAGGCTAAGCGGATTTAAGTAAATCTATTATATTTCATGTAAATAAATGTCTGTTTATACTTAAAATATGTATAATTTCATCATAAACTACAAAATAGAATGTCATACATATTATGAAGTATTGGACATAATGAAAACATGGGGAACGAGCATATAATGTGTGTTCATTTACGTATTCAATGTCTTTACAATTTATTGAAAAAAAAATGCAATATGCAAGCTATCTATTTTCTATCTGAGTAAGTCGCAACCTAGTCGGTGTCTACGTGGGTCTGGGTGGGCTAGGCGAGTGCCTCAGCAGGTCTAGACGTCCTTTCTTAATTTTCAAACGCCTAGACATTAATCGGGACGGTGGTCAACAGCCTAGCCCGAGATTTTTAGAACAGTGCTTCTAATCAAAGATAGAACCAGCAGGAAATTAACCGCGATTTTTGTACGGCTGGTCATCTGTTTAGTGTCCTCCCAATTCTATTTTTGACTAAGCGTTTGTAACTTGTTCTGTTTGCGCTTATTTACGCGATTGCAATCTCACATTTACCATTAAGTTTTACAGATATTAGGAAATAAACACCATGCCAATATATAATTTGTATCCTAACATATGAATGTAATATGGGATTATGTGCACCTGATTATGAGAGGCTTGAGTGAACCATCCTTCTGCAACCACAAGTTAACAAGCCACTGTATGTGAGATCAATGCAGACAACGCTCGAAAGCATCCATACTTCCGGCCGGACAATACGCACAAATAGAAATAGTTCCAAACCTTCAATCGAAAACACCTAGATGGAGACTGGACAGCTAAACGAGATATTTATTAGTGTGTCGGAAACACAGTCCAGTTCTATTTACGCCTACTTGTCTCCATACTATATAGGAAATCTTTAAGAGAATGGATCCCCATTTTTTTATAAAAATGGGGGTTAGTTGTGGGATGCACACTAATCGAACTTTAACGATTCGAATCGTCTATTTTTCAAGTTGCACTCATAGATCATACTTGCGAAATATTAAACAAATACAAAATGTTTAAGAGAGTTTAAATAAATTAATTAATACTTTGTTATATATATAAGATCAATAAAATTTTATCTCGATAATTAAGTAGGCAAATAGTTTTGGATTGAGTTAAATTTTTGTAAGAATGGTCTATAAATCGAGACTTACAAAATAGACGATTCGGATCGTTGAAGTTCGATGTGAAGTGAACCCACATCTAATTTCCATTTTTTTTTTTTAAAATGAAGATTCCTTTGCATAAAGAAACTGCTATGTGCATAGTTAACAGCAAGGCATTTTCCTATACATTACTTGTGACAAAATGAAGCTAAAAGATTTATAGACTATGAGTAAAGAACGAAAACGCACCGTTTTGGATTGTGGAGAGCAAAGAGGACTGGTGCTGAGGAGAGAGGAAGTCTCTGCACAACCACAGCCCTTTGATTTGTTTGATTGGTTCCCAGAAATGGGTCGGGTCGGAATCGGATCCATCGCCCGGTTCCCAGTCCTCGCTGTCCGACGAATCGCCGAATACGTGCCGGAGAATTTCTTTGCTCGCAGCATCCATAGTCATAAGCTCTGATCTTGTCTTTTGACGAGGCAAAGCTTAAAAGAGTCAAAAGGTTCCTCTCTGCACTCTGCTCAATCTTAACCATTGATTTGATTGGATGAAAATATCAAATTTTACTTTTAACCACTGATTTTGACAACTGTAAAATTAGAACAAGAAAGGATTTTTGCCGGATTTTTTTGTGAAGATTTTAGAGATCTTTCAATCATATTTATTCATCGTATATTGTGCGGTCAGTTTTTGTCAGATACTGTTTATATTCAATTTTAAATATAAAAAATACAATGATTTCTGACCACACGATGTACGATAAATATATATGATTGGAGGATTTTCAGAATCTTCACAAAAAATATCCGACAAGGATCCTTCTAGAATTAGAACCATAATAACTATCATAGTGTCACATGATAACTACAAATTTTCATATTACACACTTTTTAATCGAAACTATTTGTTTATAAAATTAAAAATACCAATCAAATTGCAGATTGTTTAGTCACTTGCCTAACTCAACAAATATCGCTAACAGATAAGAAGTTCATGATTTCCACACTTAAAAAGTGAAAGGTCTCATATCAACTCACATAGATTTTGTTAATAAAAAAAAAAAAAAACTCACATAGATGAAACTATGGCGAGTTGTATTATACTTTCCCGTTGCATGAATTAGTCCAAAATTTAAGTTCAATAAAATTCGTTAATCACAACAGAACGGGGGAAGACATGCACCTTCGTATATGGACATCGAGTTTAGATTATTTTCGGACCTTTGTGTCCTGTGCCTACGATCAGAAAAATCTGGACTCTTAGTTTGTATGAAAAATCAGAGCATTTTGTTTGTGAGACGCTAGCAAAATAAATGAATAGAGACGATTGGTTTTAATTTAAGTGATCCAGATTGTGTGACGATTAGAGGCAGTAAGATCTAGAATAAATTTGTATATGAATAGTTTAGGGCATGTTTGGTATTTTATTTGAATCTAACTTTTTAAACTTGTTTGTACCATACTTAGAGCATCCGTATTTAGATCTCATATAAATACTCGGGGGACTCAAATGTAATTATGTAATAAATGAAGGGGCCAATATGTAATAAGTGAGGAACCCTTATTCTATAAAATGACTCATCACTCTCCTCATTAAGGAAGCCAAGTTTTAGGCCAAGATTGAGGTTAAGACTTAGACCATGGGAAGAAAGAAAATAGGCTAGAGAGCACACTGCCTCTAGCCTTCTTGTATATTCACCATTCAAAGTGAAACAATATCAACATCAGTGTGGACCAGGGCCGGTCCAGAGATTTTTTAGGCCCAGGCCAACGTCAAAAAAAGTGTCCTAACTTCATGTAAGAAAATTATTTATTTTCTCACATAAGACATCGAAAAAATTATACTTAGAAAAACACTTCAAGCTCAATAATTTAGAAATATAGAAAGACTAATTTATTTTGTATTGAGAGAGGGAAACAAAAAAACTTCGGGCTTACAAGTAGATAGATGAAGAATTTTGTTTTCCATCTGAACTTTGAATGTGTTTTTGAATAAATCGTGAGATGTTTTTTTCTTATTTACTAACCTTGTCAATATGGGACTAAAAAATAATGATGTTTTCGAGTCTTTAATTAATATGTATTACTAATGAATAGGCACTAAATTAAACATTTTGATGACACGTCATATAATTTGCAAATTTGATTTACGTATTATTCTTTGTTGAATATTAGATTTGAATTAAAACGAATATTTAAAAATAACAACTCACATAGCTACTAGAGATAACTACTAGTAAATAAATAAAACTAAACAACCAAACAAAAATTTGTAAAAATTGAAAAAAAATAAACATGCACATAACATTTCGAACTTAGGACCTCTTGTTAATTTTAAACAACAAAAATCATTGTTTCTAATTAAACTTCTTGATCCTTTAACCAAATTTTATAAATTTATACTTATAAAAAGAAATTTGTAAAAAATGGAAAGTAAATAAGCACACATGATGTTTTAAACCCAAGACCTCCTCATTATTTTCAAATGACAAACCACCACTTCTAGTTAAATTTATGTGTCTTTGAACCAAATTTTATAAATTTATACTATTATAAAAACATATATAAATATTTCACCCTAATAATTTTGGTGCCTCTAATTTTTTTGGGCCCTGGACGGTCGCCCTACCTGCACTGGGCCTGGGCCGGCCCTGATGTGGACATAGCCCAAACATTGGGGTGAACCACGATACATCTTGTGTTTTTTACTTTCTTGCAGATTCATGATCGAATTTACGTTGTTCCAAGACCCCTCCGGTTTTGTGCATCAACAAAACTCAAAAACAATTTTCAAGTTTTAGGCCTTAAAAACTTATTTGGTGGGACTATTTTAAGAAACTGAACTCAAAACTAACTTAAAAATATAGTATATTATCCAAAAACATAAAAAGTGAGTTTTTAGAGTATTTAAATTTAAACTCACTCACTTTCTCTCCCTCACCCTCTCTCTCTCTCTCTCTCTCTCTCTCTCTCTCTCTCTCTCTCTTCTTCTTCTTCTTCTTCTTCTTTGTCTTTTTTTTTTTTTTTTTAACCTTTTCGTCTCTTATCTAATCTGCTCTCTTCATTCTCTCGGTTCTTTCTCTCACTCATATTCATCTCGGACTCATCTGATCCTCTCTCTTCTTTCTCTTTCCTTCAATCATCTCTTATTTTCTTTCATCCTCTCTCATCTTTCTCTCACTCATGCAACCCTCCCCTCTTTATAGATCTCTTTGTCTAGTTTAAGTCGTAAAATAGATTTAAAAATTTTAAATCGCAAACCAATCAAGTTTTTGAATCTTAAAGAAAATTGTTTTCAAGAAATGTTTTAAGAAATGATAAAAAATTTCAAATAAAATACTAAACAAATCCTTATTTTCCCAACAAAACATAAATTACTTAATTTCGAATCGACATTTCTAAAAGAGTTCCTATTGGATGCAGGGCGCAGCTCACCGTCGTATCACCAACCTCGTCGCAGACGATTACTGATTGGATGAAACCAAACAGTGGCCTCGGCCGTCGTGCCGCGCCAAGTTGATGGACATTCGCTTGGGCTTTCGCGCCCATGCAGAGAATCTAATCCTCCTCCTCTCACCAGACGACGACACGTAACTGTCGCAGTGTCACCCTTAGATGTCCACGTGTCGTCATCTGATAAGACGTCCCCATGCTACCCCAGCGCTTCATCTCACCCGTCGAATTATTCCTACCAAAAGTACCAACCAAGCCGGGAAATGCTCCCTTTGACGCATTTGCCACATCCACCATTCTCGAAGCGCCACGTGGAACATAACATATAATTCTAGCCGTCGATTTCTTGGAGATTGTCGCCCACGTTGGAATCACCTATAAATTTGAAAGAGTCGCAACGCATCCTTTCGTCTTCTCCGTTTTACTTCAAAATAGTCGAAAGGCATCCAAGGTTTTGAAAGCAGAGCAAAAATGGCGGATTCTGAAGCATCGCAGTCTACAGAAACGGTAACTCTCTCTCTAACTCCTGTTTGATTGCCGAGAAAGTGATAGAAAAGTTCGATCTTTTCTTTCGGGATGATTAAAATTTTCTGTTGATTTTGATTTTTGAAAAGTTCTGTTGGTTTTAGAGAACGTGGTAGAAAATTTTTTTTCTTTTCGGAATTATGAAAAAGTTATGTTGATTTTGATTTGGAAAATTTTCTGTTTGGTTGCCGAGAAAGTGACGGAAAATTTATATTTTGTTCCTTTCGGATCTTGATTTGTAGGTGCGAGTGGACGAGAAGAATCTGAAGTATTTGGAGTTCGTTCAAGTGGCGTCGATTTACGTGGTGGTGTGCTTCTCGAGCCTCTACGAGTACGCGAAGGAGAACTCCGGTCCGCTTAAACCGGGTGTTCAGACGGTGGAAGGCACCGTCCGAACCGTAACCGGGCCGGTCTACGAGAAGTTCCACGACCTTCCCTTCCAACTCCTCAGATTTGTCGATCGCAAGGTCAGTCTAAAACCTTAAATTCCGCCACCATCAAATTTACAGTGTAAACAGTTGTTAATTTTCGATCGCGGTCACGTGCTTTGCAGGTGGACGAGTCCTTGAGCGAGGTGGACCGTCACGTGCCGGTTCTGGTGAAGCAGGTGTCGAGCCAGGCGCTATCGGTGGCGAGAGCGGTGGAGCGAGGCGGCTTGGTGGACACGGCTAAGAATCTCACCGGGAGCTTGTACGCTAAATGCGAACCCGTGGCGGAGCAGGTGTACTACAAGTACGAGCCGGTGGCAGAGCAGTACGCCGTGTCGGCTTGGCGCGCGCTGAATCGGCTCCCGCTGTTTCCGCAGGTGGTTCATATAACGGTCCCCACCGCGTCGTACTGGTCCGACAAGTACAATCGGGCCGTCGGGTACACCGTGAACAGAGGCTACTCCGTGGCGGCGTATCTGCCGTTGATTCCGACGGAGAGAATTGCCAAGTTGTTTGATGAAGCCGAGAACGGGGTTGCCGTTTCGACGAACGGTGGGGATGTTGTAGTGGAGCAGTGACGACCGTCGATCTGGGTTGGGGGCTTTATGGTCTTTTGGGATTTTTCGTGCTTTTCCTAGTATGAAGTTTATTTTGGGGCCCCGTTTTGGAGGTCTTGTTTTGAATTGTAGGCCGACGTGGTAACATCCTAAATGAATCGGAAGAAAATTTTGGTACCAATTTGGCATATTTTAGTACAAGGAAAGTTTTTAATTATATTCTTTTTATGAATTAATAAATTAATAAGTTTGTTGATTTACACGATCTAGTATTAGTCTCTTTTCACGTCCAAATTTCGATTATAACTCGTTTTATATTAGATGATTATGGCCCCGTTTGGGATTGAGGTGATTTTAAAAAAAGCCACTGTGAAAAAAAGCTGAGGGTCATTTTTGTGTTTGGTAAACTGAAAAAAAAAGGCTTATTTTGGAAGCTGCTGTGAGAATAAGCTGAAAATCAAAGGAAAAGCCGAAGCTGCTATTTGCTGCTTTGAAAAAAAGCCAGTTTTTTCAAAGCACACGGAGCTACAGTGCTCCTTTAATGAAAAGACACACTATCATCCTGCTTTTTTTTCCAAAAGCACTTTCACAAAAAAGTTTACCAAACACTCTACTGGCTTTATTTCACAGCCGCTTATTCTCACAGCACATCCGCTTATTCTCACAACAGCTTTTTTTCAAAGCACAGCAATACCAAACCAGCCCTATGTTAGGTTGAGCGTGCAACATAGCCAAAATGCAAGAAACGCTATTCTCCGATCTTGAGATAATCTCTTTGCAAGACGTCCACCTTCGAACTAGAAAGTTATTTGCGTAAAAACCAAGAAGAGAAAGAGACTGGAAATACTCTGTTTCTTATGGTGTTTTAGACGGTTGAATTTGTAGACTAAATTTAGTAGGATTGAATACCAAGAAGAGAAAAGAAACTGGAAATACTCTGTTTCTTATGGTGTTTTAGACGGTTGAATTTGTAGACTAAATTTAGTAGGATTGAATACAAAACTTTAGATGCCATGACTAGAAGCAAATACATTTTGTGAGAAAAAAAATGTCGTTTTTAAAGATTTCTATTCAGCGTTTTGTAGTGTATTTTTTGGCCCAAGGATCCACGCTGGATCTTTTTCCAGAGGATTTTGTGATCGTAGTTGTTCATCGTACATCGTGCAGTCAGAAATCATTTGAAATTTAAAATTTAAAATTAAATATAAATAGTACTTAACGAAAACTGACTGCACGATGTACGATGAACAACCACGATCACGGAATCCCCCAGCAGGAAAAGATCTGGCGAGGATCCTTTTAATATTTTTTGTGTTTTACGTAGTTCATTAACAGTCTTCTTGTTGGTTTTTAACAATCAAGTCTAAAGCGGCGCACTTTAAATAAATCGAATACAAGAGATACTTTAAACCCTAAACCAATCTACCTTACTAGATCAAAGATACAGAAAAATTAAGTAGAAATGAGGCTTTCTCAACACGTTAATTCTTTCACGAAAAGAAAATTAAACGGAAGAACTTTTGCTCTAACAATAATTCTACTTAAAACGAAAACAAATTTGACCAAAAAAATGCGATTCATTACTCGTATGAGCAGCCATGGAACAAAAACGCCGAGCAGTCAGGGAAGCAAATGTGTATGTGCAAAGATATCACAAAGATTTATCCCATCAATTGCAGAAAGGTTCTAAAGCTTGTTCTGGAGTAACGGTAAAACTGAATAAACTAAAAACTTCTCATTAACTACGAATCATTAGTACATAATCTGAGATTCTAACAGCAACGTCTCATCGAATAAACTCCCTCTCTAGGTTCCATGGCATTTTCGACACAACTCATCTCGCAATCTCAACTTTATTCGACAAAAGATCAAGACATCGACCTCATAAATATAACATAATGGAAACAGATGACAAAATGAATAGGACGTATCTTTAGTAGATGGAGTAGTTCTCACTGGCTCCGGGCTGGATGCTGTTGTAGATAGCCTTGACGACTGGAATCACAGCAATAAGAGCAAGTTGTAGTTGTTCGGAGCTGCTGGTTCTGATTGAGATCTGTCCACTGCGCTTGTTGTTCAACCCTGCACGAACAGCCATCTTGTAGTTTCGCCCGAGGGAAAACTGGGACTGGAAATTTGCCCCCAGGGCCAAGTCACCCCTCCACCGCACTAGAGACAGACCCAATGAGGATTGATCCTGGCCAATTGGAAAATCTGCCTCCCTCAGCCGCACCTCCAAGTTTGCTCCATATGCTGACTCGCCCTGAGATCGGACAGTACCAGTACTACTCACCAATACCAGACGCTTGCCAACCGCATACTGTTGTTCAACTTTGAGTCCAGTGGACACATTTTCTCCCAGAAATGTCACAGATACTCCAGCAGCATTCTTGAACCTCTTGGAGGTCTTGACTTTGGTGTCTCCTCGCACAATGTATGCAAGTTGCTTTCCAATGTTCTGAATGTCAAACCCTAGCATACTCGACCAGTTCTCCCCGTGCTTAGCACCAACCGAGGAATCTAAATGGAGATTGAACTCTTTCTTATCCTTTGTAAGCTGAACAGCAACAGCTGCTGGAAAAGAATTAGCAATGGCCAGACTATGTTCAAGGTTGACACCATCGTACCCACAGTCATGGTCCCAGCCTTGGGGGTCCAACACTGGCCTTGCCGTGAACTGAGAAGTCGGCTCCAGGAACCGGTACCTGTGAGCTGGATTTTCACCATCAAAAGAAGGCGGCAAAACCATATCAGGTAATGCAACCGGCACAGCTGCTGGAGCACCGTTTTCTGGATCCTCTTCACCCAAATAACCATACTCCTCTTCACTTACCTTGCCCTTCTTCTTCATTTCCTTCATCCTTCTCAACTCTTCTTTCCACATCTTTTTCTGGAGGAGCTTAACCCTATAATCATACTCCTCAGCGTACGCTTTCCTCTGCTCTCTACTAAGCTTAGCAATCTGGGCCTTCTTGAGGGGCTTAAATGACGGAAGCTGATCATACTCATCCTCTTCTTCCTCTTGATCAGAATCAGACAAGTCAGCCAAGTCAATGTCTGAATCAGCATTCTCACCACCTTGATCGGTAGCAAGTTTTGGGTGCGGACGAGATTGCAACAGCCAAGACAACAAGTATGGAAGAGGAGCCGAACGGGAACGCAAACCAAAGAGCTTACGGTGATCAAATGATTCCTGAGGTTTTGAGAGATTAGACGCATCAGACAAGATCTTCATAGAGTAGCACAAGAGCAATAGATGGGATCTCCAAGCTACACCATTAGGGAGCACTTTCTGATTATCTCTCTTCCGACAAGACGGGTGGTTCTCTACAAGAGATATTGGACTCATCATACTAGGATTCATAAACCTTAGGTCACCAACAGCTTGTCCAATCGTCTGCTGCATGATTTGTTCCCGCTGACTACGAAACATCTCATAATTCAGCGGGGAGCCTGATGGTCCATCAGGAGGAGCAGAAGAGCTGTGAGTCAGAGTAACTATGGTGCTTCGCCAAATTGAAGGACCAAAGGCATTAGTGATTGATCTTAACAATAGGACATCACTTAGATCCCTACCTCGGGAGTCCATCCGATCCACATAGAGGACAATATCTGGGGGGGATTTTTTCATATGCCTCTGCACAGAAGATAAAATTTTGCGATTTATGCCCTGTTCCATTGCAGCAGATTTCAGACCTGGTGTATCAAACACCTTAATCTTGACTCCATCCACCACTCCAACAATTTTTTTCACAGTAGTTGTTCCAGGTCCAAAAGCATTAATTGGGGTAACTTCTGCACCGAAAATAGAATTTATAGTGGCACTCTTCCCAACACCTGCTTTCCCAAGAACCAATATGTTCAAGGAGAAGTCCAAATCATCTTTCTCCTCTGCTTCAAGCTGGAGAGCGGTCATCTTTGCAGCTTCGAGGCTAAATTCTTGACTGTTTTGCCTCCCTGACACGAGAGCTAGGCGGTATAGAACCTGTCTTGGCACTGACTCTTCTGTAGAAACACCTAATCTCTGAACAAGCCTCAAGAACTTAACCCTTATCTGCTGAAACTTTTCGAGCTTCGCTCTCTCTTCTTCGCTCAAGTTCTCAGAACCTCCCCCAACTGTGGCATTGGAAGATGTCATAAGGTTCGAGTTGTTTGGTCGTGAAGCAGGTTTCAACGACCGAATTGAGGACCCCAACCCAGCAGGACGCTCAACAGAGAAAAGCCTGGATCCATCTGGGGTGGTAAATGTAACATTGCCACCATCTGAGGAAGCACCTGTTGCTGCTTTCAAAAGAGCTGCCAACGCAGCTGAATCAAATAACTCTTTTCCGCCCCCTTCCTCATCAGTGTCCACTTCTTCATCCGAATCCGTAACAATCTGGCCATCAATTCTCTGTGAATGATCATGATAACTCTCAGCACCTGAGTAAGAGCCAGCACCTGATCCTCGCTCCAACTCTTCCAAAAACTGTTTAGCAGCTTCAGAGCTTCCAAAAATCATACCTTCATTGTTCGCATCTGTAACTGAACCTTCATTCTCACCTTCATCATCTTGAAGATCCTGATCATCATCTTGAAGATCATTATCATCATCATCTTGAAGATCCTTATTGCCATCACCATCATCAGTTTCGACTCTTATCTCTCGGTTTGAAATGGAATTTGGACCCACAGATTCAATGCCAACTTCATCAGGGGAATGCTTCTCCTCAACTTCCTCATCTAGCTTTACTTCTCGGCTATTAGAACTTGAATCCAGAAACTCAGGTGCCACATATTTTCCAGGGACAGCCGCTCTCAATCCATGCACTTGATCATGTACACTCAAGTCACTGTTACCCAGTTTTGCCTCAGTCTCTGGTTCTTGTTCTGCTAAACCAGAAACAACGTTCACAGTTTCCATTTCAGCTCCATCCCCAACCAATAGATTGTCATCTGGAACCACATCAGCACCTAATTCCCTCGCCATCCCTTTCTCTCTGGTTTCGGAATCAGATTTCAGTCCATCCTCCCTTTCTGGCCTCTTCTCGAGATCAACTTCATCCGCACTAGCAGCAACAACAGCTTTCTCTCCATCAAGTTCCACATTCCCAGACTCAGGAACAACCGCTCTGTCAGGCAAATATTCCACAGCCACTGACTCCGAGTCATTTGGTTCTTTGGTCTCACGGCTAATTTGATCAAAAACATTATCCAAACTCACACCTTCTTCAACCA